AGCTCAGTCCTAGGGGGGATTCCACTGGGTTTCCAATATTCTTCTCCTATTATTTGTTGGGAATCGTCCCAAGGAAGCAGGGTGGGTCTCTTGGTTCTCCTGGGTCTCCCAGACCCAGGATCGATCAGCCGGCCGGGGGGGTTTAGGCAGATGTAAGCTGGCGGCTCCCTCTTACATCGGGACGCCGGCCGGCTTTCTCCTTCTCCCAGAGATCCTCCGCGGCTGGTCACGTGCTCTCACCAGCCTCCCGGATCTCTCCCTCGTGAAGCGCCAGGTGGACCAGCGCGTCACTGCAGCCTCCGTCCAGATCCCATCTCCGGCTCTCCAGTCTCTCCTCCACAGCCTGGCAGGCTCCGGTGAGTCGGTTCCCGAATCCCTGCTCCAGAGGGTCACTGGGGAGGTCGGGTAGCGGAGCCTAGCAGAGAGCTATTGCCGCACGCTCCCCACAGCCGCCATGTTCAGGCTCCTCCCCCCCGCTGTGTGGCTGTGGAGTCTAAGGTGTTCTAATCTATTGTGCAGTGTCCCCACTCATCTAGTTCCATGCTCCATAATATGGCATAAATTACAAATACAGACAAGAGATTAAGTTCACTTTGTAATAAAGGTCAGACGATTTGGGACGAGGGACCTGTTAACTCAGGTGTGGAGGATAGGATCATCAGGATCCCTGTTAGAATTAAGAAATCATTATTTGGCTTGATTCTCCAACTTGTTTTAATAACTGGAACATAACTTTTGAGTATACTGACTATTTGATATCAATTGAAAAGAAAATGATGATATCATCATCATTATTATTATAATTATTGAATGTACGTAATTGTAAAAAATGTTTTCTTTCCATTGAAAAAACTAATTGTACTCACTGTACAGTGATCCACAATCCATTTATATAGCAGGTATGCAGAAATATAAGTTTGGGGGTCAAAGCAAAAGTGTTGACTCCAGCGATCTACATTTTTAAATTCTGTCTTAATAAATCTTAAGAGAAAATCTGTCCTGTAGGACAACTAACACTCTGGGATTTTTAAGGGGAACTATCTCTCAGAGTACAACCAACACAACATGGAATTCAGTACTGAAAACAAAGCAGCAAAGTGGCTAAGTGGTTAGCACTTCCGCTTGGCAGCACTAGGGTTGCTGGTGTGAATCCCAACCATGGCACTACCTCGCTGGAGTTTGCATGTTCTCCCTGTGCCTGCGTAGGTTTCCTCCCATGCTCCAAAGACATGCTGCTAGGTTAGATGGGAACTATCTCTCAGAGTACAACCAACACAATATGGAATTCAGTACTGAAAACAAAGCAGCAAAGTGGCTAAGTGGTTAGCACTTCCGCTTGGCAGCACTAGGGTTGCTGGTGTGAATCCCAACCATGGCACTACCTCGCTGGAGTTTGCATGTTCTCCCTGTGCCTGCGTAGGTTTCCTCCCATGCTCCAAAGACATGCTGCTAGGTTAGATGGCTCCTGTCTAAATTGGCCCCGGTGTATGTATGAATGTGAGTTAGAGACCTTATATTGTATGCAGCTTAAGGGTTAGGGACTGATGTGAATGTATAATATGTATATGTAAAGTGCTGTGTAAACTGGTGCTATATAAGTACCTGTAATAAATCATCAATAGTAGGGAAACACAGGTAAAAAGAACATATTAGAATGTTAACTCAACCACAGCCTTATAAGTGAATACATTACACACATTTAGGTACCTATTACAGACCCAAAGCACATGTTTCTCATGTCAAACATCTACAGCATCAAAGTGAAACGGGTGTCAAGAGCTGTGTAAAAGTGTCAGTATGTCAACGCATTTCACAGATGTGCTTCTTCAGGAGATGGGTGGTCTGAAGTCCATAAGGCACATCACGAAGAAGTCACACGGAAAAAACTTGTCCTGAGCACAAAGGAGGAAAGGGAGGGCAGCAGGAGCAGGCACCAAAAAAGGCTCAAGATATTCCCCGAGGGGGCCAACTCAAACAGTGATGAGCCCCAAAGTTATATCTAGCTCCCTATGTGTAGTAGAAATATTTTTAATCCATACTAGCATGAAGGTGCATTTCGTAGATTCATGTAGAATTTTGCTCAGATGCACTGACCCAGTCATCTAACTATTACAATCTGGCCCTTGTCAGAATTACTCTAATCCATAGGCTTACTCATTTTTCTCTGCTTTCAATACATCAACTTCACAGACAACATGTTCACTTGCTGCCTAATATGTCTCACCTGCCTTCAGATGCCATTGTACCGAGATAATCAATGTTATTTGCTTTACCTGTCAGTGGTCATAATGGTATGGCTGATCGGTGTATACTGTAACTGAAAAGATAATTAACCAGCTAAGCTGAAAAGCAATTTTTGCATTTCAGCAATTATTCTGTGACTAAGAAAGCTTTCTTTTGGCGTTATTGGTATTTAAAAGCTATTTAGAGCAGAACTCCAGCTAAAAATTGTAATTTCCCATGCAGTGGGGCTGTGTACACATGGCATGGGTTAAGTGCTCATTTTGTCTAGGGGCTCAGGGTAAAGCTATACTTACCCTGTCCTCCTATCCTCCAGAAAACCACTCTCCCCACACATCCAGCGGTAGACTGCTCGTACCTTCGTCATATCTGGAGCTGGTCTATGGTTTTGATGATTTCAGGAAGAGCCCATTCACAAGACCACTAGTGTGTGGGGGTAGGAGCACCGGGGACCAGTCTTGAGCTTGGTGGATCGGCAGATTAGGTAAGTATATCTTTGTTTTCTGAGCTTCTAGACAAAAACAAGCATTTAACCCATGCAGTGCAGGCACAGCCCCACTGCATGGGAAAATAAAAGATTTACCCAGATTTCTTCTTCTTTAATTATTAATAAAAAGGAATAAATATCTTCTTTCAGTTTGGCAAGTGTTCATTTAAAACAAGTGTTACTATGGATATAAAGTACTAATATGTGTCCAGGTCACTGAAATTTAAATCTGAAATGTCTTTCATGGCCTTTTGATGGCCAATCATAGTGATCAAAGTGTACCTAAAACTTCACACTGTAAAAATTAGATGAAACTTACATGTTAATACTATGAGATGAAAACAATTTGGGAAATCTATATTTTTTTGACAATACACAAAGCCTTGACTTCTTTCAAAGACAAATTTAACCTTTAGCAGGAAAGAAAAATTAGCCTTGTACACCGGAAAAAAACAGATTGGGGCTTAGTGGCTGGAAGGAGCAGCACTTGACATAGAATCCAAGCATCTCCACAAAGGCACATGGAAGACTGAAAGAAACACTTGCAAGTGCTACCAGTATACTAATTACCTTAGGGTGTATTGTAGGCCAAATAAGGTTCCATTAAAGACTTCCAATCTGTAATTTTCTCAAGTATTAGCTGCCACCAGATGCTAGTTGATGCCATGATAGATGAGAACAGGGAAGAACAATTTTCCTGATCATTATAGTCCTCTTTGATGCAATTTGGCCTGCAGTGCCTTCCACCCCATTGAATTAGGCTTGAAGTTAAACAGAGCCCATATTTTAAGTTTATGGAGTTCTTTGGAGTACATGGAAGATTTTCAGCCTCTGAAAATAACCAGCTACAGCTATGAACTGAGATATTCTTGCAGACCTTTTAGTCTGCAAAATGAAATTACTCTATTATGTAAAATTAGACAAGGTCAATGAAGAATCTGGCACAATTTTTATTAGTTCACGGTAGACTAGGCCTCTGCTACTCCCTGCTGACCTTCGAATTGCTTTGTTACTATACCAGTCAGCTCAGTTGCTATGTTCCTCCAAGTCCATAACTAATTCTTACTCATATGTTTCCCATTAGTGCCTTAGAATTAGCAGTGAGGAGTTCAGTGAAGCCAGAGGTCATCTCTGACACAGACATTTTACACTAACATTTTTCAAATAATCCAGGTACCAGTAGAGTGCATATATTCATAGCTTAAGGGGGCAACTATAATGCTCAAAATACACAAAATATGCTGTAGCACAGCACTCCCTTATGTTGCAAAAACTTCAGTTTAGCAGAACACATGACACAATGAGATGAGGACAATCCATTATAGTTGAAGACAGCAGGCAATAGCAGTGGTTTGTCACATATAAATATAAATATAGAACACACCATTGAATAAAAAGACTACAGCTGTCTTATAACTCTTTTTTTGTTGAAAAGTAACTTTGATTGCTGGCAGAATGTGTAATCTATAGCCTGTCTAATCATTCCATTGATTATATGCTTGAGCATAGAAATCACACTTTTGTCACTACACAGGATGAAATTACTCTAACAATCAACTAATGTACTCTTGACCAAAATGATGTCACCTTGTAGACCCCACCCCATGTGAGCGATTCAATCGGATACGGTTTTCATAATGTTTCCAAAAAATATATCAGTATGCTGCGCCTACCTATTATCATAGAATATGTGCATGAAGAATCATCTGTAAATGAACAATCCCTCATAATAAACAAAACACCAAAATTCTCTAAAGCAGAAACCACATAACATAAATAATCCACAGTCCATATAATGTGCCAAGTGACTGTCCTGCTTGAACAATTGTGCCACTTAATTATCTTCCATGACAAACGTGTCCCACTTCCTAGACTATTGTGAACAGTCACATTGTATATCCACCACAGTTCAAATATTGCGCTCACCTCCAGTATCTGGCCTGTCCTCTTAGGTCAGAAACGCTTGTACCCTTTAACCACTAGCCTACAGGGCACTTATACCCCCTTCCTGCCCAGGCCAATTTCCAGCTTTCAGTGCTGTTGCACTTTGAATGACAATTGCGTGGTCATGCAACACTGTACCCAAATTAAATTTTTATCATTTTTTTGTGACAGATAGAGCTTTATTTTGGTGGTATTTAATCACCTCTGGGATTTTTTTTTTATTAAACAAACCAAAAACCACTGAAAAGTTTGAAAAAAAAACATTTTCTCTTAGTTTTTTTGTTATAAAATTGTGTAAATAAGTGATTTTCTCCTTCACTGACGTGCGCTAATGAGGCTGCAGTGATGGGAACTGATAGGCTGCACTGATAGGGACACTGATAGGTGGCACTGATGAGGAGGCACTGGTAGGTGACACTGGTAGGTGGCACTGATGGGCATTGACAGGCATCACTGAAGAGCACTGAAAGGCAGCACTGATAGGCGGCACTGATAGGCGGCACTGACTGGCACTGATGGGTGGCACTGACTGGCACTGTTATGTGGCACTGACTGGCACTGACGGGCACTGATAGGTGGCACTGATAGGTGGCACTGATTGGCAGCACTGATAGGTGGCACTGATTGACATTGATAGGTGGCACTGACTAGCACTGATGGGTGACACTGAAAGGCAGCTAAGATGGGCACTGATATGTGGCATTGATGTGCACTGGTAGGCACTGATATGTGGCATTGATGTGGCACTGATGAGCACTGACAGCTGGCACTAATGGACACTGACAGGTGGCACTGCTGGGGCTACACTGATCATCAGGGCACACTGATCATCAGTGCCCTGATGATCAGTGTAGATGTCCCCTCTGCGGAATGCCGATTACCGGCTCTCCTCTCCACTCGAGCTGTCAGCGTGACAGCTCATGGGGGAGAGAAATGCCAATAACTGGCATTTCCCTGTTTACATGTGATCAGCTGTGATTGGACACAACTTATCACAAGACCAAGCCGACATCTTCAGCTCTTTCTGTGGATTGGTGATCCGTTGTGTCCGAGGGACACAGCACACCGCCGATAGCCGCGCTGCGCGCTCTGGGAGCCGCGCATGCACAGTTAGAATGGGAGGACGTCTTATGACGTCCTCCCAGAACAAGAGAACCACCTTGCGTCCATCATATTACTATATGGCGGGCTGGAGGTGGTTAATAAGGGCCCTCTCATCATCTCATCTCCTCCATCCAGATACCGCTCCTATATAATTCTCCATTCAGAAGTTGCTCTCTGATAGAATATTTCAGATGATTGGCCCTTTAAAACCACACTCAACGCCCTGCGGTACGCTCCCATATATAGAAAAAATGTCCCCATAGTGTAGTAAGTTTAATCACCCCATGTTAAGGGCATGTGGCCTGGTATGGTTCAGGAGAGGGAACATACTTGCTCTGACGAGCCAGGCTGCATGCTCAGATAAGAGTCTGGTATTTATTTTGGGGCGGGGGGCAGGTTTCTCATAAAAATGTTGGGGAGGGAGGGGGTTTCATGTTTCTTTTTATTTATTTATTTTTTTGTGCATGGGGTCTCACTATAACACTTCCATATCCATACCCCTGTTTAAACTGTTTTTTTTTTTTAAATGTCAGTTTTGCTGTAGTAGGTACAGAGGTGGATTTGTAACTAATTTGAGGTCAATACTACTATTTACAAAACTAAGCAAGTCCTAACATACAGAATTTGCTATTCTTTAAAAACACAGACATGGAGATATTGTAATAACCTTATCCTACTATGTTGTATAAACGAATCTACATGTGCAGAATAAGGAGGGGGATCATAATAATGTTAGATAAACAAACATCCCAAATTTATTAAAAACAGTAAAACCCTACATCTTTCAGAGCATAATTTAAAACCCTTATCCTACCATCATGTATAAGTGCTGGCTGTTCCCCAGTGGAGTTGCACTGATAAAGTGGGTGTATTTAATCTGTCTTTCCTGATACAAACCCTTAACCCTATTTAAGGCCAGAACGTTAGTAGCCCTCAGGTGGTGAATCCATTCACGTTGTAGGAGCACTTTTTCCCAATCAACGCCTTCTGAGGGTTTGTACTTCCTGTCCAGTGTCATAAATTTTACTTTTGGGAATTTATAATTATGAGTTGTAAAACCTAACAAGAATTTTGGACATGTATATATAGAGCAACATCCATAGTATGCGAAAACCTGACAAGAATTTTGTAGATGTATATACAGCCACATCTATAGTATGCAAATGAGATTTTTTTCTCTCCTGGGTAGGAGACGTATAATGATAAATTCTCAAGAGTAAAGTTACGGCACTGGACAGGATGCACAAAACCCACAAGAGGTGGTAATTGGAACAAAGTACTCCTATAATGTGTATTAAGATAGATACACCAGTTTGTATCAGGTAAAACAGATTAAATACACCCACTTTATCAGTGCAACTCTATTGGGGAACAGCCAGCACTTATATATGATGGTAGGATAAGGGTTTTAAATTATGCTCTGAAACATGTAGAGTTTTACTGATTTTAATAAAATTGGGATGTTTGTTCATCTAACATTATTATGATCCCCCTCCTTATTCTGCACGTGTAGATTCCCCCTATCCCACAGTATTATTGTTGAGTATGGCACACCCAGCCTTGGGATGTGTTGTTGAAGACGTCTTGAAAGTCTACTGTGGATTCCTGCCATGTAAACTTGGTGTTTTCTCTGCCTCTCGCCAATGTGAGCTGCAACCAGGGGCGGACTGACAACTCATGGGGCCCCCGGGCAATAGGGGATCATGGGGCCCCTGTCTCCTTGCCCAAACTCAAAAAAGCCTATGAAAAAGGTACCAGGGGCATCTCATGGGACCCCCTACTGACCCCGGGCCCTCGGGCAGTGCCCGAGTTTCCAAATGGTCAGTCCGCCCCTGGCTGTAACCATTGATTTTAGTTTTCCTGTTGGCCTACCAATACTCGTAGATGCACTCTGCCCTTGTTTTTTTTTTTTTAGCCAATCTACAAGCTGACCTGGATTCACGGTTTGATTGGAAAACATATTGGAAAAAGAGGTTTTATTTTGATAGATATAAAGGTATGCAATTAGAGTCTACACACATGAACACATCATAGGGGAAGTAAAACTGTGGAAGTCAACAATGAATAGGGATTTTGATTGCCTGGTGAATCGTAGGCTTAATAAAATAATGCAATGCCAATGCAGATTACAGAGTGTGTTCCTGTAAGAAAGAAGTATAGACAAAGGGGAGACTGAAAAAAAGGAAATTAGGTGGAAAGTTGTTCACTTTATAGTCATTGCAAAAAGAGAAGGGATAAGCTATGCTCCTGTAAGAAAATAGTTATAATCTTGACATATGGAATGGGTTCTTTACAGTAAGAGCAATGAAAATGTGAAGCTCTGTAGATTGCTTAAAAAAGGGCTGAATGTGTTTCTAAATGAACAAAATATAAATGGCTATTAATCTGTATAAGAAGTACTGCTTTAGAAAGTTAGTCTAGGAAGCATCTGATTGCTTTTAAAAATCAGGAGGGTTTTTTTACATTGTAAAAGCAAATTGAACCATGCCTAATAAGGATTTTGTTGTCTTCTACTGGATCAACTGTAGATTCTGAAACTTAAAAGTATTTACTTATATATTTATTTATTTAATTATATGTTTTGGTGGGGTTTTTTGTAGAACCCAATGAACATTTTCTTTAAAGCCCATGTAACTATACTTGCCTGTACCAATTAACCATCCAGAACCTGGTAAAATTCCTGGCACATCTTAATATAGGGCAGCACGTGAACTTCTTCCTTTCCTCCTACAAAGCAACAATGCACCTGATTAACTGTTACTGTACTAGGCCCAAACATTTTCATTGGGTGGGGTGAAAGGTTTTTTGCCTTAGCAGAGAGATGAGGAAATTACACAGCAAAAGATAATTATCATAAGTAGAGGGGGTGGGCCATTAAAGCAAAATTAAACTATTTTGATCAATATTAACCACTTCAAGTCTGGACACTTTTACCCCCTTCCTGGCCAGGCCAATTTTCAGCTTTCAGCGCTGTCACACTTTAAATGACAATTGCGCGGTCATGCAAGACTGTACCCATATGAATTTTTTAGCATTCTTTTGGAGACAGACAAAGCTTTATTTTGGTGGTATTTATTCACCACTGGGATTTTAATTTTTTTTTGCTATGTAAATTAAAATGTCCAAAAATTTTGAAAAAAAGTGTTTTTCTTAAAAAATTTTGCAAATAAATAATATTTCATCATAAATCTTGGCCAAAATGTATTATCTTTTTAGTAAAAAAAAAAAAAAACAAATTGGTTTATAATGAAACATAATTTAAAAAAAATATATATTTTTTTTTATTTTTTTATAGTATTATTTATGTTTTTTAGGGGTTTTTTTTACATACTGTCACCCTAGCAGTACAGTACCATTGTGACATTGTACTACTTGTGGGGGGTGATGACGATTTTTTTTTTTTACACTGATTGCTTTTACAACCATAAGGGCTGTAAAAACTATCATTTCTCCTTCTCTTTGGCTGCATTCTTGCAGCCATTGAGAAATACTGGGTGAGCTGTGGTTGGTCACAGCTTGTCACATGGTACAAGGCTGTTGTGAATAGCCTTGTACCATGTGAACTCTGTGATCATTTACAGATTTCACACGTAGTAAGCAATGATGTCACAAGTGACATCTTGATTACTACTCTGCATGTGATCAATGATTGGCCAATCAGTGATCACATGATCGGGACCTCGTGTAGAGGTCCTGTACGACGATTGGTGTTCCACTGTGTCACAGCGGGCACCGGATCTCAGTGCTGCACGCTCCCAGGGAGTGCGCACAAGCAGGCGGCAGGGAGGCCATTTATAAACGGCCACCCGACCCTGCACTGCCACTGTCCGGCCGTTTATATACAATGACCGGAAGGAAGGTGGTTAACTCAATCCTTTTGCTGCTAGAATTGCTTCTAGAATTAGTAAATAGATAGGAAAGGTTATTATGTTTACTTGTTTTAAACTTCTTTTTTACATTTTTTCAGTTGCTTCCTGGTTTTTGGCCAAGACCAACATGATATCATACATTCCAGAGGTCTTCATGGACATTTTTTTCTATCATCTGTAAGAGGGAAGGAAGGGCTTTCTCAGCTAAGCACACCCTCCTGCCTGCATGCCTGAGCCAAGGTCAGATTGATTCTAGGATATAATGCTACAGGAATCACTGACCTTACTCAAGGTGGCCACATCTAGAAATGCTAGGGGAGTGTTTTTCAAAGTGATTTCTCAACAAAATAAAGTATGGAGACATGGATGGATGGGGTGAGTTTGCTTTGAATAATAAAAATGAATTAAATAGCATTTTCAGTTTGTGGTGGTCAGATGCAGTTCAGTCCGGGTTAAAGCAATTTGTTTCTTTGAACTGAGTGGGCATGGTACAGGTTTGCTTTAAAGCTAGATTTTGTAATGCATTATTTTAGTATATTTTCTCACTTAAAAAATTTCTTAAGTTACATTTAAATAAGCGTATCATTTGAACAATATGCTGTCCTCAAATTCTGAGAAAAAGGAAAAATGGAATGTATATGTAAAAAGTAGTACTATAATGGAAAATTGGGTTATGCACTATTTTTTTTTTGTTGTAACGTTGCCACGGTAAGACTGCACACACTTAACAAGACTGTGATTGAATCTCATCTTACACCACAAAGTCGGTGTTTTCATTTCAGTGGAGTTTCTGCAAGACCAAAAGAGTAAGGCTTGCGACTTATATGTGTAGGAGACCAAATGCACTGTGTATAAACATATGAATCACCGCAAGCATCATTTTCCCAGATGTTTCATTTTGAAAGAGGTGGATCTCTGGCTTGGGGTCCCTGGGTACAGAGGGGTGGTTATTACTTTACTACTCGCTGGATCATGTGAAAGATTAAAACAAATGAAATGGGATGAAGTGAAACTAATGTGTAGTTTTATTCCTGCTTAGCACTGCCTGGGAATACATTTGTGCTGGAAAA